TCGCTGTTGTTAAACGGCACTGAAGACGTGAATGCCTTTTTAGTGCCCCTTTCACTTGGTATATGTAGAAGCAGCATGCAATTTAATAAAAAACTACAGCTTAATTGGATTGACTTATGCTTATCTGTTTGGTTTAAAGTCACCTCCCTCGACACAGTACGCTTTAAAATCTTGTCCTGGAAGAGTTATTTGCCTGCTGTCACACTCTGGCTTACGGACCCCTATTATTTGTTTGCGCGAAACCAATTGCTAATATATATATATCACTGCTGATGCTCAAATATCATGAATTTGTTGCACATGCTTAAATAGTCCTGTTTGGCAACTTAACAGGAGAATGTTCCGTAAGCCATGAAATCTTATTTTAGGGGATTTATTCTCACAGTTGGCCTATTGTCTAATTACTTTTATGGTTTGTTGGTTCCTCCATGCGTCAAAATAGAAAATTTTTTACAGGTTACAGTATCGTGCTTTGGCGTGATAACGTCATACTCTCATCAAAGACACTGTGATGCGGGCGCCTTGCGGCTGTAGTTCGCATTCACCAACTGAATAAGTGATTAAAAATCGGCATAGAGTGTAAACATAAATTTCGAAGAGAATAAAATTTTATGGAAACACCAAATTGGCAAGGACTCATTATCGTTTTCGTCGTATAAGTTCGGTATCAGTATTTGAAATAGTACATTTACCGGCAGTATTGAAAACTTACATTCGTGGAAGCTACCCAAAACTCCTGGGTGATATATTTTATTTGTCAAGGACTCATTATGTTAGAATTATTTCATTTTCAACTGATGTTTGGTAGGATTTTTTAATATGTGAAAGATCACCTCCAAAATGACAAACTTTTGGATCGCAACTGGATTTTAAAAATCGATTCGTAATTTGATGTTGTATCTCTTGCTATGCATGCGTTTTTCGATGCATTTTGCGTTTCTTTATGAAGGAGCTTGGATTGTATCATCTCAGAACATTACTACCAATTCTGGAAAAAGCTACTGTTACGAAGTTGCTTCGCTTTGTCGCTAAAATGTGGAAGACTAGAAGTGTAGAATCGGCTAAGGAGGTGTTTTTAGGGATTTTGAAGAAGTGGTACGTGTCGCATATCGCGCCCTTTACACAACCTAACAGGGCGTGACATCGTGTTACGTTGTATACACCTTGCTACGGCTGACTCGATGGAAACGGGTTTTAGAATAGTTCATAGAGGAAAAAGTAGTAAGAAGTCTGTGAAGGTATGAAGGTTAGTGCGTGAGAGTAATGTTGCAAGGAAAATAGAATTGAAACCTGGACGTGAGGACCCTATCGAGTTTTCATTGCTTCCAAGATAGAATATGCTTGTAAGCAGGAGGACGAATTCAGTAGTTCTTTATTTCTAACACCGCCCATTGCTGTAAAATCAGTTGGGCTACAGATGCGATTATGTTTTCTTGTTGTGTCCCGTCACCCTTTCACCATAAATTGCTGCGTTCTTTAGACTTTATCTACCGTCAAGGATGCTCAGAGATCAGCTTTGGCTTCGTGGCGCTGACGGTTTGTCTGGCGTAAGTTTCGTATTGTCACGTGAATGTTTTGTGAATTTGATATAAGTTTTAGGAGGTGCCATCACTCATTCGATTGTCTGCCTGTGCCAGCGTGGAGCAGATCTCTTACGTCAGCGAAAAATTTGACTTGATTCCTCGTGACCTGTGGCCCATTCTTTTGCAGGCGGCTCTCATAAAGGTAAGCGTTCATATTTTTCGTTTACAGCGACAAATGAACGATCAGAGACATGTGTCTTTCAGACGAAGGATGCCATCATTCGTGTCCTGCTGAAAAACTGGCCTTTTCAACGCATGTCTTTGCGAGAGCAATTCCCGTATGGTGGCTGTTGGAAGCAAGAGAATCCCATGTACTGATTATTTCTGTTTCTTTATATACGTTGTGAACGTGAAGTTTGTTCTGCCGCCTCTCTGTTAAAACGTTTTTTGAGCGATCGAAACCATAAAATGGCAGTAACATTAAGACACATTATTCCTCTGTGTACGCGGCATAATTGTACATTTCTTTTCGTCTAAAGGCAAGAGGGTACGATTTAATGAAAGGCGGGTTCTGCAGTTTAATAACAGCTGCATTGCACTGATACAAAATAGCACTGCACTGCTTTTTGGTAGTGAGCACTGCGTAAGTGGCCTCGCTTCGGTTAGATTACATCTCCACGTGTCAGATTTTTTATGATGTTGACCACCGGTCACTACTTTGTGCTGAAACCCTTTCACTATGGCCGATGATCATGCTTTTTTGTACAGACTCTACGACCCAGTGGCCTTCGATTCGAGTCGATTCTGAGTTGGAAAGGGTCGTTTAATACCTGAGTGATCTCTATCTACAGATGTCCAGTGGTAAAGTATTATGCATGGGAAGTTTGTAGCCGTTGGATCGTCAGTTTTCCTTATACTAACATGAAGGGGCCATTTCTGGCATATGCGTTGATCTCCACTTTTATGCGACCAATCATGACTGCCTTATTTAAAAGACAGAGTCAACAACAAATCTGTATTCTTTTGTTTGTTTCCCACAGAATGGTACTCATTCATCAAACTCTAGAGAAAAAATTGAGTGAGTAGGTGGAATTCAGGACCTTTAAATTCAGTGCTCTACCGACCGAACAAACCCGGTTCTGGGAAATTTATAGCCCATTCTCAATAACAGACGATTTACACGCGTTGAAGCTGTATCTTTGACCCAATTTTTACAGTATCTAAAATTGCGTGGATTTATTTTTAGGAGACGAAACGGGTACAGCTTTTCGTATACTGTTTTGTTCATTTGTTGGCTATAATCGACCGAACTTTCTAACTTAAAACCTAAAATATTAAGTCGCTGTTGGGCATCTCCTAGGATCTTCCTTAAACACTTATTGTTTTTCTTATAAGGTTCTTGTTTCTGCGCATCCGGGTTCATACCGAATCCAGAAAGTGGCAGAGAGCCCGCATATGACGTGTTATAAGTATGCTTACCATTGCGAGGAAGTCATGAACTTAGAGACGCAGGTCGTGCTTCTTACACTTTTTAAGATTTGACCATACCACGCACTCATAGAGTTACAGAGTAGTACTTGTTACCCTTCTTCCGTCTATTATGTCTTTTTAACATGCTTTGATTCCATAGACCCTGTACAATGTCTGTGGTTCTACCAACAGCCGCCATGAATTGGATGTCTGAGCGGTAGAGCAGTGTAAATATGTTTATATGTATGTGCTATGTTTTGTACCGATTATTTACCTCAGTTAAAGGTAAATATGTTTTTATACGGTGAAACAGCTCTAAACGGATGCAAATTGTACATCTGAATTTGTGACAGTCGCAAAGTTTGTGCATTTCCTATAAATCATTTATTTTTATTTTAAAATATTTCATTCAGTCGGACTGTTTGATCTTTCATTAAAATTTTCATGAATTTACTCATATTCGTGTTTTTAGTGTCGAAAAGGGTTTTGAAAATAAGTTTTACATTGCCACGGCGTTGCTTCATAATTTTATCGAATGCCTCCGTCTACGGGTTGATACGTGCAATCTTCGAGTCTTGGATCTGAGAGGTTTTCCGATAAGTGAGCAGAAAAGGCCATCCGTTATATTTTTTGTTTGTTTCATGTATTCTCTTGGTTTCAGACAACCTTGCCGCGTCTTACCTATCAGTATACTGTATACTTTCGCACGATGAAGCAAAGCGAAACCGAATACAGAAGCTCATTAAGGACGTGGTCGGCAAAGGGACGTTCGAACAGGATTTCATCGACAAGTTGGGCAGTCTCAGTCCAATATCCACTACGCTAAAAGAGGGCTCGTGTACGTTATGCCTTTTTTGATGTTGTAATAGTAGAATACACTAATACTTATTACTTTCCCGGGTTTACCGGGCATAATTGCGCCGCACCCTTGCTTCTGGCGGCATGATGCTAATTAAATAAGGCAAGAACGCTACGATATTTTGCACTTGCAATGCAGTAGTGAAAATTATTTCACCATCCTGTGTATTACAGAAACATGTTTGAAACGCTAATTAAAATATTTTTAGACGCGGTATCAGTGCGTCAGTCAGTTTCATTAACTGCCTATCGTTTGAGTCTTCGGTCGGTCGGTTGGACAAGCAGTAGCTGTTTCTTTTTCCTTTCTGAAGGCATTCACAAGACGTGCCCAAACTATTTCAATGTGCTTTTCAAAGTTTAACAGCCAAGTTTGTCCATACCGTAAGACCAGCCATTGATACTCCAAAAATTCATGAGATCATCGTGCGAGAGTGACCTTGACTGTTTCTGAATGACAACCCCGTTGCCCCAAAGAACACTTTATCGCAGAAAATGTTTACTTCTCCGTTCTAAGTATCGGCGTCGTATGTTTGATTTTAACTTCCGCATCAGGTTTTTGCGGTGTTTTGCTTAGAATTAGAAATTTGAAGTTACTGTGATACACTTGTGAAATTCTAAGCCTTCAGATGGAGCTTATACGTTATACAGAACTGGCTTCAGTATAAAACTGTTATGCCCCCTTCGTTTAGTCTTCGAACTGTCGACGTGACGTTTATTATGTAATCCCACTTATCTAGGTTTGGTTGTACGTAGCATTGTTGGTAAGCATGAAAGAAATAGTTTAGTTGTCTGAAAAATTCTCTTCGTCTTCAGAACTCACCTGAAAAACCAATATATTTATGAAACATAACGCGTGATCGAAGTGAATGCCAAGAAAAGCTGAAAAGGTGCAGCATGTGAATACACGTTACTGTGCCATCTGCTCGAATGTGGAGCAATCGGTCGATCGACTTCAAAATGTTCTATGACACTGGGCAACTTTTATTCTTTGCGTTGTACTTTGCGAAGTCTGAAGTTCAGGAACCACACTCTGGGATCTTGGACTTGTTTCTCGTTTCATTGTTGAAACGTTTGTCAAGGCGAGTTCCTTACTTTAAATAATTATTACTCGACCTGTGTTATAATATTTAAGCATTAGTAGCTGTTATTAAGAGATTTCTTAAACAGGCGCTCTTGATACAAGCATTCGAATGTCTCAACAGATATAAAGAGTGAAAAAGATGAAGGACATGGAAGAAAACAACCTGGAGTTGATAAGGAAGACCAAATCTGATTTACATTTTAATCTGCTAGTTTGAACTACTGCAAATATTAATAATTCGTTGATCATATTTACACGTTGAATCCATTCTGCACTGTGCAACTACGTAATGGTACTGTTGTTTACTTGTAATTGCATTACGTTCCCTGCGGATTGATAGGCTCGATCTAAAACTTCGGGAACTGGTTTCATTTAAATAAAATGCTGAGTAAACTTTGTGAAGATTTTGGCCACGTAAATTACTAAGAGAATTATTACAAGAAAAATGTAAGCCTTGCCTAAGTTCGAACTTTAATTTTTTCGATCTTGGATTTATTAATTGATGATAATTCCGCCTTTGCCGGTCCCAAGCCCGATTGAGAAAGGAGGAAGGCTGGAGACTGTGGAGAAGTCTCCGTAAAATTTCGCACCTTACCTTCATGGTAATGACGTCTTCGAAAATTTTACCAGCTCGATCGTCCCCTGGGATACAAAGGGCCGCGCAGGCTGTCGCAAAGACTGAGGACGACTATGAAAGACAGCGATCAGAACTTCCTCATTGCCTTCAGCCATCCGATGGCGTAGGAGCACAACATCGGGTGACGAAGATCGACCGAACGACCACCAAGACGCCAGTCAGCAACGCAGTCGCTACCCGTTCAGAACGAAAGAAGCAGACAGCACAACGCCATTATAACACGTCAGAAAAAGCTACACGAGAATGACACCGCCAGTTGGAACTTACAGTCGGAAATACAATATATTCTTACTCAGAGGGAAAGAGCGAGAGTTAGTTGATGAAGCCATAAGGTACTAACTCGGCATAGTTGAACTTTCTTCAACAAAGCGCCAACGCTCTGGATTCCTGATCCTCTGCAGGTGGAAGTCTATTCTATCCAGGTGTCGATATCACAACGCTCTCTCAAGCCGATGTTGGTGTTCTGGTAGAACCTATCCTGGCATATGGAATCATTGATTAGAAGCCTGTCGGCGGAAGGGTTGTAATCCTCCGACTGAAGCTGCAACATGCTAAATCGTGTGTTAAATGCTAAAAGTGGAACGCCGTGATTGGAAAAAATGGCCCTAGCGACCTCAAAAATAACGGCTTGAAGCTGTTACTGTTTTGTACAAACAACTTACTGTCCCATATGAACACCTTCTTCGAGCATTGAAGAGTGCATCACTGTACCTGGTACAGGGAAGCTTGTGAACAGAAGTCGATAATCGATTTAATAATCGTAACGTCTAACTTAAGACGCTCAGTGATGGATGTTCACGTTAAGAGAGGCGCAGACCTATTAACTGATCACCACCTTGTTGGCACACTGCGCTATAAGAAATGGAGTATCATACGAAGATCTGGTGGCAGAAGCAACCTGAGAATCAAATGGGAAACATTATCACCGGTGAACACCAGAGCGAAATTTGCAAACAACATCGCACGACCGTTTGATCAGATCCCGGTGATGACCACCGATGTAGAAACCGAGCGGCAGTTCTTTAAGAGCGGCATACTGGAGGCTACCTCCGAATGCTGCGGTTATAAACGTGTCGGCCTGCCGCCTGGCGGTCAGAAAAGATCATCATGGTGGACACGAGAGGTGCAACTGGTATTAAAGAGAAGAAAGAAGCGTTCAAGAAATGGCTTGGAAACAATGAGCCTTCTATTCTCGTACGATATGTCGAGGCACGCAAGGCGGCAGCGAAAGCAGAGGCGAAGGTCAAAACTGATTCCTGGGAGAAGATCAGTGAGGTGCTGGAGTAGAATTTTTACACGGCGGGCAAGGCAAATCATTCGCCGACTCTGAGGTGAAAAGAAGAACTGTCTAAGAGGTTTAAAGGACAGGCCTGGACACCCCTTACCAATGATGATGAAATTCTTCGGCGATGGAGAGAGTACTTTGAGGAATTCCT